TTGTGTCTTTTGCTCTTTTTTCAACGTCCCAGATTTGCAGGGCTTTATTTTTTGAAGCAGTGGCGATCCATCGACTATCTTAGGAGAAGGCGAGCGTCGTCGCTGTTTTCGTGTGTACTTGTATCATTTGTGTTAGGGCCGGCGTCCCTCGCCTTCTCACCATAATCAATGCTTTCTTTACCACATCGCGATGCAATCCTGACATCACTGAACAGGGAGATGGACGGTCAATAGTGTATTATTATGATGCTGTTTATTACCCGCGATTCCATATATCTTGCTTTGCCTCTCCCCAAAAGCTTTTGTCCTTGGCTGTCACGAGTTCTTGTCGAACATAGCTGTATTTATGGTTCGTGCAACACACCATTTGTAGGATGCGTCTCGTTCGATAGTGACTGAGCTCAGTTGTAGTGACCCATCACCAAGTTTCGGTGGATCTTTAATTAGCACAATTGAAGCCGCCCACCGTACTGTGTTGTGTCGATAAACCAACCAAATTCTCCCTCACTTCCAGAGTCGAGGATTACAACAACCGATGAAGTAAAAATGTGAAATCAAAACAATGGCCGACAAAGTTCCTTGAAACATAGTAAAACTACAAGGTTACAAAGGGTGGAAACAGATCGAACAGAGCAGCAGCGCTACGATCATGATCTATCATATATAGGAACATGCTCTACATCGCTTTTCATTTTACTACAATCGTACAGTTATGATCCGAGTTGTATTGAATTATCATGCATCTTGTAATTCCCACTGCAAGTTACGTAGCCTGGCAGTACTTCCGAATTTGACGAGGGCTTCGAGAGTGGTTTGGGATGGTGCTTCCTTCTGCCGAGAGACAAGCCCACGCAGCTGGCTCGCAACAACGGGATGTTGGCCTAAGAATGGAAATGTGGTTCCGCTTATTCCAGAAGCGTAGATCCGCAGACATCGGTCCGTTTCAGCGTGATTTGGCTCATTCTCCGAGAATGTAACGTTAAGCTTTGGTTCCACATCGAGGTCGAGGAGAAGAGCGATGTAGGGTAGATTCGATAAACACTGGATCGAATCATGCGTGCGAGTGACCGACCATAAGTCATGCTCATGGCGATTCTTCCCCGCTTTGTCGGAAATAAATATCTGTGACACGCGATTGAGATCTTCGGAGCCGAGGGCAGGATCGTCGAAATAGATGGGAATCATCTTGTCGACGAGCGGCTGCAAATGACAGCATTGGACCGCGCTTGTGCGATGCCAGTGGCGCAAAGTCCACTCTTTTGCGCTGCATCTAGCACTATACAGAGGTGATGATATTAGATACAATATCGCAATGCCTGGAAGCTTGCTTACCTCAACGAATCAGCGTCAGTTTGATCGGGAACTGGAGGTGAGATGAACTCTGTCATGGACACCCAGTGCGAGAAATTGATGTAAGCATGCTGAAAAGCTGCCTTGGCCTCCTTGACTGCCATTGACCAGAATGTCTGGCCAAATAGATACTCCAGGAAATCGATGACGGAGACCTTCCGGCAGTCGATCAGTTCCGCATCCCCACTTCCGCTATACCATAGATCTCGAATCACGCCTTTGGGGGGGTCCTTGCGGACAAAGAGATCCTTAGCGAGAAGCAGCAAAAGCCTGCTGGCCAACTCCCCGCTCTGTCCTATCTCGACCATCCCATCATCAATCTTTTTTTTCAAGATCCACAAAACGACATCCACATCGTTAGGCGTCCAATGGAGTATAATTGCTGCAACACAAGACAAAATGGGTTCTGATGGATAACCGGTGAAGTTCCACATCCTATCTTCGGTCGTTGAGAATAGTATGCGCAGATGACTAGCCACTGCTTTTGAGAGATAAGACGCAGCATCGGGGTGACCAAGGCAAAAGTTGAGACCGAATCTCTGGGATAGGACAGCAAGAGCCTGTTTCGCATCATTCGCGTCAAATGTAATCGATTTGCAGAGTTTCTGGCCAGCCAATATCAAAATATCAGCGACAGAACGTCTTTCCGCGAGGGACTTCCATCTATTCATGGTGGTCAACGAAATTAAAAACAAAGATAGAAACATAGGGACAAACAGCGGACGACCGAATCCAACGATGTGATCGAACCTTGCGACATCATTCGCCGATATATAAGGCATAGGAACCGCATCCTGGTCCCAACCAAGACATGTATAGGGCAGGTAAACAGGTCTGCCGTATACTATTAGGCCCGTAGAATCTTCTGGTAGATTGTGTGAAGGTTGGAAACAGGCGACGTAGAGCATGTACTTACGGGTCTCCTGAGGGGCTGAAAAATCTACTTGCAAAGTCGTAGATACAAAAACGACCCAGACCGATGCGTCGCTCTGCCGGGAGTAGCAGTTGATCGTCCTGCCAATGATATCTGATGGACGAAAACCCCTTCCACTCATGTTGCTCAAAGTGTAAGCCTCGTCAAATGCTATTACAAGTTTTGGATCATCGTTCGAAACCTTGCCTTCCTCAGTGAATAAATGTTGCAGAACCCGTAACATATTGTCATAAGATGTCGTGACGAATGATTTGCCTCTCGATTTTGCCGACCTGATCTTATCTGTTTACGCACAGTGTGAGCTTAGGTGGCCGCATTGTGCAAAATACAACAATTACCTGCGAGTGACATACTCCCTGACTTTGCGGCGGTCTCCACATCGGTTCGCTCTTCGGGCTTCGGCATTTTGATATCGTCCAGGGTCTGTTGCAAACTTCATCAGTCCATCAGTCAAGAAACTATATTTCCCTGCTCACTTCCTGATATCGAGATTGAACTTTCTGAAAGAACTCGGTACGAGCTTTCGAGCGCATATCACACATTTCGTCATTCCATGATTTTATTACGAGATCAGGACTTCCAGAGTGCAGCTCAAGTAGCTTACTGCTCAGAACCTGCTGAAAAGTCTGGAATATGGCCGTAAAGAACGCGCAACAATGAGCGGTATACTCGGCTGCAGTGCAGCCTGTATTTTCCGTCAATATGCGCGCGGGCACTAGGTCTCGCATAGGGTAGCCCAGATCACTTGGATCACGGAGGTTCATATACAAGACAATAATACCTTTGTTCCGGAGCTAGATCGATGCTTTAGCTACCTAATACGAACACGGACTATAAACCACTGACCTCGATCATTAGTCTTGATTTTCCCGTACCAGAACTTTGGACGATCGAACAGAACTTAGCATAGTATGGCCCATGCAGGCCCCTGAACTCCATGTTGTTATTTTTCAGGTACTCGTAGAAACCATCCACAGCCTTGCCAACGTATGGTCTGACGAATGAATCGAAAAGAAAGTCTGACCGGTCCTCAACTAGGATACAACTGACCTCAGATGCGACTGTAGATGTTGCAAGATAAAAGTCTCTCACCTTGAGACGACCGCACGGGATCGCTAGCTTGGGGTATTTGAAATATTGCTGCGTTTCCAGCGACTGTCAACAGAGGAACATTCATGTCGCTAACACGAACACTCACTGAGGTCAGCAATGTGAGAGAACGAGCGCGTCTGACAGGCGTGGCGGATGATTTCCCGTAGTTGAGGGTATTTCTGTAGTGTTTCCCTTTGTGCCATATCCAGGTCAATGATGCCCTCCAGGTGTTCACGTTTGAGCAATCTACTGGCCGCCAAAATAGTATTTTCCATGATCGCGACAAGCAGGCACTCCAAGAGATCCGAATTGGTGGCCTCTTTATCTTCGTTGATAATCTTCAGGAAGGAACCATTGGCCTCAAGTAAGTCTCGATCGAGCTCATCACGTTGTTGCGATGTGAGCGGCAGGAGTGTTATGGGAAGATCCTGTGATGTTGATGTTGAACCTGACATGGCGAAGCGTGTCGATGCAAAGTGATTAAAACGCTGAAGTTGTCCTGGATTGAAAAACGATTCAAGCGGCGCGTCTGAGACCAAGTACTGCCTACATCAATATTAATAGTCCGCGCTTCTGTGTCACATCCTAAGAGTATCATTCGAAGGGAGAGCACAAGTGACTACATCCGAGTCGAACGCGATTGCCACAAGGTTACATAATGGTAATTACTAAGCGCCCACTTCTCGGTGCCTATAAAGGGTTAAGAGACCCGGTTTTTATGTTATGGGAAACTAGGACCATCAGTACCTCACTCACAAACGATGACTCGGATTCAGATGTTGGGCCTCAACCACTTCCTGCAGCTTATGCTTCACAAATAGAAGGCAGGTCAGGCGTGGAAGAGTTCATGGAGAGGGAGGAAAGGAGAAGGAGACTTCAGGAAAAGGCGAGCAAGCCGAAAAAGCTTCAGCGGGAAGAGTGGATGCTTGTACCTCCACGAAGTGGCGACTTATTGGTTTGTACGTTTCATTCAACACGCAGTTCTTTAACTTGTGTACTTGTCAGAGTCATAGCACTTGACCCGACGAAAGCCAGGCCTCGTCAGCTCGCACGTAGCGCTGCGAGTGTCGTTGCTGTTTCATGTGTGTTAGGGCCGGCGTCCCTCGCCTTCTCGCCTGCTTCTTTTACCACACCGCGATGCAATCCTGACATCACTGAATAGGGAGATGGACGGTCAATAGCGTATTACTGTGATGCTGTTCATTACCCGCAATTCCATCTATCCTGCTTTGCCTGTCCCCGAAAGCTTTTTTCCTTGGCTGCTACGAGTTCTTGTCAAACATAGCTTACAGGTATTTATGGTTCGTGCAAAAAAATTTCCGCCATTTGTGGGATGCGTCTCGTTCGATACCGACTCAGTTGTAGTGACCCATCACCAAGTTTTGGTGTATATCTAATTAGCACAAATGAAGCCTCCATTTATGCCCACCGTAGAAGTGAAAATGTGAAATCAAAACAATGGCTCCCTTGAAAAATCGTAAATCAAAAAGGGTGGAAACAGATCAAACAGAGCAGTAGTGCTACGATCGTTATCTATCATACACAGGAACATGCGTGCAATCGCCCTACATCGCTTTTCACTTTACTACAAACGTCTAGTTATGATCCGAGTTGTATGGAATTATCATGCATCTTGTAATTCCCACTGCAAGTTGCGTAGCCTAGCCGTACTCCCAAATTTGACCAGGGCTTCGAGAATGGTTTGGGATGGTGCCTCCTTCTGCCGAGAGACAAGCCCACACAGCTGGCTCGCAACACCAGGATGTTCGCTCAAGAATGGAAATGTGGTTTCACTTATTCCAGAAGCGTAGATCCGCAGACATCGGTCTGTTTCGACGTGATTTGGCTCTTTCTCCGGGAACGTAACGTTAAGCTTTGGTTCCACATTCAGGTCGAGGAGAAGAGCGATGTAGGGGAGATTCGATAGGCACTGGATTGAATCATGCGTGCGAGTGACCGACCCTAAGTCATGCTCATGGCGATTCTTCCCCGCTTTGTCGGAAATAAATATCTGTGACACGCGATTGAGATCATCGGGACCGAGGGCAGGATCGTCAAAATAGATGGGAATCATCTTGTCGACGAGCGGCTGCAGATGACAGCATTGAACCGCGCTTGTGCGATGCCAGTGGCGCAAAGTCCACTCGTTGGCGCTGCATCTAGCACTATACAGAGGTGATGATATTAGATACAATATCGCAATGCCTGGAAGCTTGCTTACCTCAACGAATCAGCGTCAGTTTGATCGGGAACTGGCGGTGAGATGAACTCTGTCATAGACACCCAGTGCGAGAAATTGATGTAAGCATGCTGAAAAGCGGCCTTGGCCTCCTCAATTGTCCTCGACCAGAATGTCTCGCCAAATAGGTACTCCAGGAAATCGACGACGGAGACCTTCCGGCAGTCGATCAGTTCCGCATCCCCACTTTCGTTATAGTATAAATCCCGGATCACGCCTTTGGGGGGGTCCTTGCGGATAAAAAGATCCTTAGCGAGAAGCAGCAAAAGCCTGCTGGCCAACTCCCCGCTCTGTCCTATCTCGACCATCCCACCATCAATCTTTTTTTTCAAGATCCCCAAAACAAAATCCACATCGCTAGGCGTCCTATGGACTATCATTGCTGCAACGCAAGACAGAATGGGCTCCGATGGATAACCGGTGAAGGACCACATCCTATCTTCGGTCGTCGAAAAGCATATGCGCAGGTAACTAGCTACTGCCTTTTCGAGATAAGACACAGCATCGGGGTGACCCAAGCAAATGTCGAGACCGAATCTTTGGGATAGGATAGCAAGAGCCTGGTTCGCATCGTTCGCGTGAAATGTCATCGATTTGCAGAGTTTCTGGGCAGCCAGTTCCAAAACTTCAGAGATAGTACGTTTCCCTACAAGTGACTTCCATCTATTCATGGTGGTCAACGAGATTGAAAACGAGAATAAAAACATATGGACAAACAGTGGACGACCGAATCCAACGATGTGATCAAAGCTAGCAACATTATTCGCCAATGTACCAGACAGAGGATCCGCATTCTGGTCCCAACCAAGATGTGTATAGGGCGGATAGAGGAGTTGGCCGGCTACCGCTACGCGCAGAGAATCATCTGCTAGATTGTTCAAGATTGGGAACAGGCAGCGTATAGCAGGTACTTACGGATCGACTGAGGCGCTGAAAAATCTGCCACTTGCGAGGTCGTGGATGCAAAGACGACCCAGACCGATGCATCGCTGTTCTTGGAGTAGCAGTTGATCGTCCTGCCAATGATATGTGATGGACGAAAACCCTTTTTACTCATGTTGCTCAGAGGGTGGGCCTCGTCAAATGCTATCACGAGTTTGGGATCATGATTCGAGACCTGATCCCTGTTCTCAGTCAATATACGTTGTAGAACCATCAGCATGTTGTTATAAGATGTCGTGACGAATGATTCGCCTTCCAATTTGGGCGCCACGATCTTCTCGTCTGTTTACGCAGTGTGA